ATTCTTCTACCTGATGAATTCGTATATACTTTTGTGTTTGTGTGAAAAATTCAGACTAAATATCTGGCACAGTACAAAACATACATAATAACATCAACAGGTTTATTCTCCCATGTTGTAAAATTATATGATAGTAAGGGTATTGACTGGTGTGCTTACGAGATAGCCACATGTATATTTATTATTAACTTGCAAACCTAAAGTTTGTGAATTTCTTATAGAGTTAACGAAATGGTCCTGCAAAATCGTTCACAAAACGTGTTCAAATAATTAAAATCATTTCATAAGATAATTAAAATTTTATACAGTTGAGGATATGTTGAAACACAAAAACATCAATCATATATATAAGGCCAAACATGTCATATAGATGTTCTCCCCAACATTGGTTTTCAGTCAGAAACCATACATACCCATCTTCAAATATTATAGGTGCAATTTATATTATAATTATTCCACCACAAAGAACACAAAAATGGTGCCTCCAGAAGAGGTTAGAAATATATGTTGGATATTGAAAGTTTAAGATTATTAATGTTGAATTAACTACTCGATAGGTTGATCACATTAGTTTGACGAGTTATTACTCCGAAAGGGAGACTTATTACTTGCTTGATTGGTTAATCATCATCTTAGCAAGTTAGTTATACCAATATCGGAGGGAGAAGTAAAAATAGCCGATTCATAAATAAAATAGACAAGATCATTATCTCATCAGATCCTCCATAATATGAACCTGAAGTTTAAGAGATAATGTTTAAGACCAGATGTTTACTTGACCAAATGTGTAAATATATCTTATATAAAAGGCTGTTAAAACTCAGAATTTGATAATGTATCCTTGAATGACTATCTACCACTATTCTTTAGTTAAATGTCCATTTGATGAGTGGTAGAACTATCGATTCCAATGATAAAAATCCTCGTAAATGATAAAGTTTAAATCTATAAATGAAAAATACGAGTGGTTAGAATTTATAAGAATTTTTTAAATTTGAATAGTTTCTCACTATGATGAATCAACTTCCAGAAGAAGTATAAAAGTATGTGGGAACTTTTATGATTGTTGAGATCTCATTATTAAAGAAAGATGGAATTGATCAGTAACAAAATGTTGATATAAAATTTGCTTATGCTGCAGCAGTTAGTAAAATGAATGACAATGAGGATCATGAAATGAAAATCTGTTGTGGATACAAACATAAAACTTATTGGCTATAATACATGAAAAGACGCAATACACACTTAATGATGTGTGTTGTACACACACTTTGAATTGCTTGAAGCAATAAGAGTTTTGAAAAGTAATACACCGGCTAAATGTTCTTGGGTGATTGTGCAGACGATAAATGAGCAACCGACTTATAGTACAAGTTTTTCCAAAGTCTGGATATTAATAATAAAGAGATAAAATTCTCTTGTGGTGGATGAAATATTTATTCTTCTGTTATTTGCTAAATCTGGCAGCCAATGAAGAAATAAAATGCGTCTAGTGAATATAGTGATAACTTGAAAGAATACTTAATATTTGCCATATGAAAATGGTGTTTACGTGAAATCCCTGAAGGATTCAATAAGGGACATGGTTCCGATTCTCGAGAAATTAAGATGAAAGACTTGCGCAAGTTATAGTATCTTCATGTGTCTAGACAAATATTTAGGTGTATATATATATATATATATATATATATATATATATATATATTGAACATTTTGGTCATTACCGTTTATGCACTTAATTTTATATGTTTTATCCGGATACGTTACATTTGTCTGTAAGGTGATTGTTTGTGTTTTCTATATGTTTTCTTATCATGTTATTTTGAAATATTGATATAATCTTTTTCATAAACTATATGTATCTTCGTTATTTTATTAGCACGAAACTTTTAAAGAGTGTGAGAAGGCTAAATATTATTGAAACTCTTTACGGAGTTTGAATAGCTTGAAGATCATTAAAATCCCGGAAGAGTTTATTACAGTTATTAAAACTTCAAAAGGAAGTTCAAAAGATAGTTAAATCAAAAAGGTTGCTACTTGCCTGAAACAAGAATAATGAAAGACATTAGATAGAATATCGTTCATAGTATTTAACACCCGTTGAGGGCACTTGACTATGATCTTGATGTGCATAAAATTTTTTTTTTTAGCGTAGAACAAAATATAAACCGATTTGATCCTGAAGTACCATATTGTAATACTTATAAGTATCGGTTCATTACCCAAGATGTTCGAGGATTATATATATATATATAAATACCTTTTTGGTATGCTAGTTATAGATCTTTGTTGTTCTTAAGCACTCAAGATTACACTAACATATGAAGATGATCATCTGCACAAAAATCGAAGTGATCCGTCTATTATTGAATTCAACAATGGTGAACCTGGTCAACATATTAACATGTGCCGAGAAGATTACAAGTGACGTACAGGGGGAGTAGCCTCACGCTGTACTCTTTTTCCCTTGATCGAGGTTTTGTCCTAATGGATTTTCCTAGCAAGGTTTTTAACGAGATAGCGTTATCTCTGGAAATTACTCTTTTTCCTTTATTAGATTTTTATCCCACTGGATTTTTCCTAGTAAAAATTTTAACGAGGCATTATCCCAAGAAATGGACATCCAAGGAGAAGTATTATAAATATATTAATAATTTGGATATCCATAAGATATAAGAATTGTATTAGAATTCCATATATAGAGATAATATTTAATTAGAACTCATATTCGTTAATTTTATTTCTGTATCTACTTACATATAAATAAAGGCCAGTTCCTATTGAATAAAATGCACCTGAATCCTTTCTTTCTCTCTTCCATAATTCTTCTTCTGTAGTTTATATTTATTTTATAATACTTTAATTATTATTACATCTGTTTTAGAATCTATATTAAGTTTTTAAATATGTATTAGAATTTTTTATAATAGAGAAAGAATAATACTACTATTATTTTTAGAAAAACCACCCGTGTTATAAATTATTGAATCCGACCAATTATTATTCTGAACTTCTTATTCTCGTTCCAGACCTTTCCTTGTGTCTTCTAGACGTTTCAAGCACCTTCGCCACAGCCAATAGAAAATTAGAAAGTGAAGCAGAAAAGAATCATGGGGAGTTGGTGTTGAAAATGAAAAATACAAAAAAAAAAAAAAAACAACTACCAACTGAGAGATCTATTGTCAAGTTTGATTTAATCTTTGTGATAAGACATAAGTAGTCAAAGTAGAAATTTACTTCAATATATAGTTGGTTAATTTGGAATATACTATAGTTGAACAAAGTTGTTTCTGTAAGTCTAATTAAATTAGCGTTGATAAGTGATAATTGTTCGAGGAGTGCAATTAAAATTGTACTCCCTCCGTCTCATAATTATTGTCTAATTTAAGTTTTCATTTATAGTTAAATTGTATTAAAAGTGAAATTTCAAACTAGATAATAATTATGGGACAGAGGTAGTAATACTTAGCTCTCCGAATTAAGTTTGATGATTAATAATCTCAACTTGTACGTTTAGGTTCAAACAAACATGGAGCTAATTACGTTGTAAGAAAGATACTTCAACTTAAAAAGTATTTACGAAATACCTACATTTTTTCAGGAGAGAAAGTACGTCAAATTTAAAATATGAACGGAAACATCACTAAATCCTTGATGAATTGTACATCACTAATAGTACCATACTACCATTTCTAACGCCAGTACATTTTCTTGGACAACTATTTTCTTTGGATCTCTTTTGTATATATACTTATGCTTACTAAAAAGTAAGTAAAGCACCATACATAAAGGATTGGTGGCAGTTTCTCATCAAAAAATTTTCCGCCTAAAATTTTTCTAGTATAAAAAAAAAAAGACGTGACTTCCTAAAAAAATAGATAAATAATTGTTAAAACCCATAAAACAGCAACGTTGGAGTAATAAAATTCCAAGATAAAGAAAGCACTAGCAAGGAGCCGATGAGAAAGTATTCGTCCAGTATGGTTAGCTGGTAAAGCCTGGTATTGTTCTTGTCACTATGATTGGTAGTTGAAATCGGGGGGTTTCCCAAAAAAAATTAAATAAAATAAACGTGGACAAATTTAAATTTTTCAGAATATTTGTGGACAGAAATATATTGCTCGGATTTCTGAAATCCGAGTTTTGATTAATATTAGAGATTCGGATTTTGCAAATCCGGATTTATACTTAATAATAAAATAATAATTTCATAAATTTTGTTGAATAATAGTTTTTTTAGTTCTTAAATGAACAGTAACGCTCGGATTTGTAAAATCCGAGTTTATTTAAAAATTAATAAATCGCGGCGCAAAATTTTTGAATCCAAAAAACCGAAAGTCCGTAATCCGGTTTGACGAATTCGGATTTGCGAAATCCGGATGCCTTTAATTTTGGTTGGTGGAAGTAGGCATGTGCCTTAAATTGGAGGACCAAAAAATTAATAAAATAATCCTGAATTGACTAACTCGGATTTAGGAAATCCGAGTTACTTACGAACTCGGATTTTTTAAATCCGAGTTTAACGTGCAATAAAAGAAAAAAAATTTCAGGCAGTTCTCATTCGAGAACTGCGTTGGATTTTCTGTTTTTGCATCTCAAACAAGGGCGAATTGAAGTTTTTGATGCATTCTTGCCTCTAGATACGTGGAAATCGTTATTTGAAAGAGGTTAGATTGCAAAACCATGTTATTTAGTTTATTTTTGTGTTATTTTTGATTGTTAGAATGATGTATGATAGATTAGGGTTTATGTTGGTTGGTTGTTTGGATGTTTTAGGTGTTGATTTTGTGGTTTAGGGTTGAGAAATCATAGTTGTTCATGAGATATCGAAGTTGATTTATAAGTATTTTAGTATGGTGTATTTGTTGGAGTATGTATGGTGTATGGTGTATGGTGTATTTTAGAGAATGTATGGTGTATTTTAGAGAATGTATGGTGTATTTTGTTGATTTTGTTATTAAGAAATGATTAGTTATTGATGTTTTTTTTAACAGTTATCAATGGCACGTAATGTATCATACATGCTTAATTTGTATCATACAAGTAAGTATGTGATAGAGAACGGTAGCATCAACACTTTTTCGAATATGCCGGATGATGGTTTGTTTGTCGAAGAAAGGTTGTCATATGAGGGATTGATTAGTAAGATTTGTATGACCCTTGGTTGGGATCCAGCACACGTGAAACTCCACCTTTCTTTGATTTTCGATAGTCCCGGTGGTAGGCGTGTAGTGAAGATCAAGAATGATTCGCATGTAGAGTTCATGAACCGTGTAGATCCAATGTCATGTTTGGATTTATACATAGATTTGGAAGATATCACTCAAGAAGAAAGAGAAGCGAGTTTGGAAAACGTGTCATTTGGTGATTTTCGAAGGGGGGAACGTGCTAGTACTTCTCGAAACCGTGATGAAGAGGAGACACCTTTATTTGCACAAAATGACTACCGGGAAGAGTCGGATTCCGACTACATAGCTCCAAGTGAAAGCGAAGAAGACTGTGATGTCTCCGGAGAGAGTGATTTTGAAGAAAGTGATGATGAAAGGTTGGAAAATGAGGAAAGGGATTGTAATCTATTCGCTCGACGCCATGTATATAGTAAGATGGGGAACTGGGATGCCTCATTTGTAGACAAGGATGAGTTTGCTCTTAAAATGTGGGATGAGACGCCCGAAGGAATGGACATTGGTGTTTGTTTCAAATCTCAATCAGAAGCAAAGCATGCTGTGAAATTATGGAACATCCATCATAAAAGGGAATATACGGTCGCCGCGAGTAGTCCAAGGACGTGGGCTGTGCGGTGCAGAACATTTAATGTGGAAAGTGAGGATGGTGAACCACCATGTGAGTGGAAGATGCGTGTGTCATTGAAAACTCACGGCCTTCATGAAATTGTGAGATGGCATGATGCACATAATTGCATGACTCCTGTGAATGATAATGAGAATCGGTGTGTGGACGCGTCTTTGATTGCTAGACTCATCAGGAGAAAGGTTGAGGACAACGTAGATTATACGGTAGCCTCGGCATAGAAAGATGTGAAGACCTTATTGAAAGTAGATGTGCCATACAAAAGGGCGTGGCACGGGAGGAGGAAAGCCATAGAAGCGGTCTATGGTGATTGGACCTCCAATTTCGAAGAACTTCCACGGTAAATATCAACTTTTATCCGTGTATTGAAATATTTATAGTATTTTTATTTTTACATGTATTGAAATATTTTAACAATGACTTGTTGTTGTTTAGGTATATCGCTGCGCTTAAGTTTACTAATCCTGAGGCGTAGTAGAGTGGGAATGGAAGGAGGGACAAGAAGGTTGGAACAGGGAAACCGGACATTTAAATACGTCTTCGGTCATTTGCACCGGTGGTGAGACATTTTTGAATGTCCACCGGTCATTTGTATCGATGGAACCTTTTGCGTAGTGGATACAAGGGTAAATTGCTTGTTGCGGTGGTGTATACCGCAAACAAGCTCATTTTACAGTTGCATTTGCGATTGTTGATGAGGAGACAGAGAGAGTTGGACATTTTTTATGAGGAATTTGAGGTTGTGGGTTGTGTATGATAGAATCGTAAGTGTGATATCCGACCGGAATGCAGGGTTGTTGAGCGCAATGTCACAGATGGACGAATGGCGTGATTTAGGTGATGGTGGGCACTTTCTTTGCCTCCGCCACGTTCGCAGCAATCTTGTGTCGCGATATAATAGCAAAAAGGTGAAGCGGTTATGTTGGAAGATGGGCACGACGCTTTCAAGAGTGAAATACAACCGTATGAGGCGAGAGGTTATTGAATTCAAACCTGCTGCATGGGAGTATCTTCGAGGGATTGGGGGGAGTAACTGGGCTCGATTGAAAGCCGGTCTTCGCCGTTGGGGCATAGCGACAACCAACATTTCTGAGAGTTACAACAATGCGTTGAAAGGGATCCGTTTTTTACCAATTAGAGCCTTGATCGATGCAACCTTTCGCAAAACTGTTAAATTCTATAGAGAAGAACAATTGTCTGCGAGAAATTGCATGACACCGATCCCTCCTGAGTTATGGAAAAAATACGAGAAAATGAATGATAAAGCAGCCAGTTTTGAAGCCACCCCTTTCGATGGTGATGATGCTATGTGGCGTGTTGTTACTGCCACACGCCTAAGTGGCAGGGGTGGGTCTCTGCATACGGTGAACTACGATGAACATAGGTGTTCGTGCAGGAAGTGGCAAGAGTACCGGATGCCTTGTACGCACGCACTCCAAGTTTGTCGGAGAAAAGGGGATCGGCCTATTGATCTATACCATAGTGTGTGGCGCCTTCCAACGTGGCGCAGACAATTTCATTATACGAGCTTTGTTCCGGTTCCCGATGAGGAACAATGGCCGATGGTCAATTGGAACATCATTCCGAATTATGAGCGTCTTGTGTTGCATGCGGGACCGGGACGAAGACAAAAAAGGAGACATAGAATGCAAATGGATTACAGGGGACGCCGGAGCCGGGGGGAATGTTGGAGATGTGGACAACTAGGTCATGATGCCAATTCATGTCCGTTCTCGCACCCAGGAGTAGATAGAAGACCTGTGAATGACAGCTGGAATTTAGTGTAATTTACTGTTCTTGCAAGTTATTTAGTGTTTGATAAATTTATGTGAACATTGATAAATTCGGATTGTATTGTGAACATTGAATTTTTCGGATTGTGCAAAATACTCATCATTGTAAGGTAATGTGAAGGATTCGGATTTCCGAAATCCGAGCTCAGAGTTTTTTTTAGAAATTGCAAAGGACTCGGATGTCTGAAATCCGAATGGGTGAAACCCATCCGAGAGTTGCAATTTGAGGAGAAACAGGGGAGATTCGGATTTTATAAATCCGAGCTCAGAGATTTTCTCGAATTTACTAAGAACTCGGATTTAGGAAATCCGTGTTTGTGAAAAGCATCCGAGAGTTGAAATTTGAGGAGAAACAGGGGAAATTCGGATTTTGTAAATCCGAGCTCAGATATTTTCTCGATTTCACTAAGCACTCGGATTTAGGAAATCCGTGTTTGTGAAGAGCATCCGAGAGTTGAAATTTGAGAAGAAACAGTACTAACTCGGATTTCGCTAATCCGAACTCAGAGTTTATTTTTAATTTGCAAAGGACTCGGATTTCAGAAATCCGTGTTTGTAAAACCATCCGAGAGTTGAAATTTGAGGGAAATAGGGAAGACTCGGATTTAGCAAATCCGAGTTTGACGGGACTATATATTGTTCCGTCAACTCTTCCCTTCCCATTTTTCCCCCAATTCCAGAATTGAAAAACCCTAAAACTAAACTCCAATTAAACAAAAATCCGGCTACTCCCACCACTCAATCCGGCGACTCCCTCCACTCCCTTCGTGATTTCCGGCGACTCCCACCACTCTCCGGCGACTCCATTTCCGGCGTCTCTCCTCCCTCTGGACAATCCGGCGTCTCTCCTGCCTCTGGATAATCCGGCGACTCCTTGCAATCCGGCGACTCCCTCCGAGACTCTCCACCTCCGGCGACTTCCTCCACTCCTCCCGACTTCCTCCATTCCTCACTGTAAGTTTGAAATTCGCGATCCTCTCTTTATTTTTTTGTCAAAATTTTTTTCTTTGTGAAATCCGAGTCCTTTTTTTTTTGAATTGTGGTTGGTTTGTGTTGATATAGTGTTTGTGTTGAATTTAAATTGTGTCTATTGTGAATTGCTTATAGATGTGGTGTTGATATAGTGTTTGTGTTGGATTATCGTTGTGTAAATAGTGAAATGTATATAGTAGTTTGGTAGTGTTGTTTATTTGTTTGTTTATGGTTTGGTTGATTTGTTTTTTTGGCCGAGTGTACATCGTTTGGTTGATTTGTTATTTGGCCGAATGTATATAGTTTGGTAGTCTTGTTTATTTGGCCGAATAATTTGAAGTTTGGTTGATTTGTTTTTTTTGGCCGAGTATACATCGTTTGGTAGTTTTGTTATTTGGCCGAATGTATATGGTTTGGTAGTCTTGTTTATTTGGCCGAATGTTTATGGTTTGGTTGATTTGTTTTTTTTTGGTTACCTTGTGTAGGATTGAAATGGCGACGCCGGCATCGAGCTCCCAATATGACTATCAACCTAAACATCTTCACCCGGACCTATACAAGATAAAATGCTATATCGTCAAACAAAGCATAGGTCCCAAGCTGTCTATGAGAACAGGATACCGGACATTAAGACATTCCGCCTCAAGGGCCGTAGGTACGACAGCGATTTTTGGGCGTTATATAAAAATACGGCACCGGAGGTTAAGGAAGTCATTAGGAGAGCCGGTTTTGAGGGGATCATGAAGGTAGGGTACAAAGAGTTGATCTAGGCCTCATTACCGCGTTGGTGGAACGGTGGAGGCCGAAACCCACACTTTCCATTTTAATTTTGGAGAGGCGACGGTGGACGCTACGGGACGTCGAGGTCTGTTTGGTATTCGGGTGGATGGTGACCGGTGTACGGCACGACAGTTAGCCGGACTGCAGATGAATGGAGGGATCGATGTGAGGCTTATTTGGGATTCCGGCCGGCGATCGTAAATGGCCAATGTGTCAATGTTGGTATTTTCGAAGATGAGATGGGCCGTGCACTACCTTCAAATTCCACTTGTCCATCGATTCGAGCAAAGGGCAGGACACTTATACTGCATTTTATTAGCAGTTTCATGTTTCGAACAAGACGCGAACACTTGTCAATCTACGGTTCTTGGCCGGAGTTGAGGATTTGGATCGGTGTAGTCGATACGATTGGGGATCGCACTGCTGGCTGGGTTGTACTCGGCCTATGCGAGGCATCACAGTATACCATGCACGACGCCACCGGGTGTCTATATTTGCTACAGGTACGTATTAGTTTTCATATTGTGCTTTAATTATTTTGCGCTTTCGACGGTATAATTTGAAGTTTCTACATTATTATTGCAATTTACTAGGTATGGGCGTATGAGCGGATCGAGAGGATCGCGCCCCAAAGAAAAGGAGTAGATTATTTGCTTCATGAGACCGCTCCATTAGCTCAGCGGTACGTATTTTCAGTTCAAAATAACTCAACGTTTAATTCTATTTGTTTCTTATTCATTTATTTCACTAATTCAAATGTACCCCTTTGTTTATTAAGGTGGGAATGTAGGTACACGTACGGCGACGCCCCAAGGAGCAGCACTCCGCCGTTTAGAGATCAATTAACAAGTCTGCGTGTTGAAGATGTAAGTACTTGTAATTTGGTATTTATATTTACTTTGAGATCAATTACCCCTTTCTTTTGGTTTCGGTTGTACCATCTAATGAAATATTTTTTCGTGCAGTTTCGGTGGCAACCATGTGCACATGTCCTCCATAGACTCCCTGATTTCTGTACACAAGGCCAAGCCATTTGGACGACTAGGTTTTGGATGTTCTGTTGGGCTATTAGGGAACCCCACGAGTCGGGCAGAGTCGTAAGACAATTTGGATACATACAGGATGTTCCCAAGCGCCCCATGATTAAAGATAACGCAGCATTCCTTCTCGATCACGCCCACAGTATGTCTGGGTATCCTAGCAATAATTGGGAGGATCACCATTCCGCAGTACGCCATCATTGGAATAGGAGAGAAGAGTTCGTGCTACGAGATTTGGAGGAAGGAGATCCTGGTTCCGTATATGAGGGGTACTATGAATGGTTTATGGTGAATACTGTCAGATTGATATCCAATCCCGGTAATTATGAACCTCAAGGATACGAGACTTCTTCGAGCCGCGTGAAATTATATGTGAGTTAATTGTAGATTTCTTTTATTATTTCTTATGTTTCCATTTTTTTTTTCATTCTTTTTAGAACTTTACTCTCTTAATTAACGTCCCAATTTCTTTTCAGGGTGAAGTATTGAACAACATTCGCGCGAGTACCGAGAGGTTTAGAGAAAAACGAGAAGATGATAATCTCCTAGACGAAGAACTTGACAAGCATTTGGACGATATCATCAATCAAACACATGCTGCTTTAACCTTGGGCGCAAATGATGAGATGGAGGTGGATGATACCCAAATCCTGGTTGATGAAGATCCATTTTTTCCCTCACAACCTCCGCCGGGTAAAAAAGCGAAACCGTGGTCAAGAGATAAGATTGGAGGAGGAAGAAAGAGAAAGGTCACAATCCCCCCTCGGACATCGCAACAACAAACTGAGGGTCAACAAAATGAGGATCAAGCACATTCCTCTCGAGGCTCGCGCATCCAGGTCGAGACTCATTTTGAAGAAGCTGGTGGACCCGAGACTCAGTTTGACATTGGTGGACCCGAGACTCAGTTTGACATTGGTGGACCTGAGACTCAGTTTGGTGGACAGTCGCAACCACAACCGGGAGTCAAATTTATCACCATGGGGGGAGTCCCAATCTCAACCCCAAATCGAGGCTCAGTTTGGTGGACAGTCGCAACCACACCAAAGTTCAATACTCACATATCTTAAGAGGGAGACATGATCCGACAGGGCCCAAACAAATACACTCCGGATGCGCACAATAAAGGAAAAGGGAAAAAATGAGACATTTCATTATTTTGGACATTTATAGTAGTTTTTGTATTGAACTTTTTATGAAACTTGATTTATTTTGTTGTTAATCGAATGCCGTTTATTGTTTTGTTGTTATTAAATTCCTATTTTCCAATGTTTCATTGTTGTTGGTGCTGTAAACATGTTTAGGACTGGTGAAAATCAGTCTAATTTTTTTCAGTTCGACAAAGACTCGGATTTGCGAAATCCGAACCGGACTTTTCTAAAGGATTCGGATTTGAAATCCGAGTCCGTGGCCAATAGGAGTCACCATTTTTCAGAAAACAGAGCAGATTCGGATTTCGGTAATCCGAGTTCTGCCCAAATTTAATTTTTCAACACATTATTTTTTCTCTATCCGGAAATTAATATTTTATTCATAAAAACGGATTTATAAAATCCGGATTTAGATTTATTACACTAATTTTTGTCATTAACTTAATTTCGGATTTACGTAATACAAAGTCGGATTTTAATAATCCGAGTTGAGTTGGGGTCGGATTTCCGAAATCCGAGTTTGCCCCCCATTCGGATTTCCTAAATCCGGGGCATATAAATTTGTCCACAAGGTTTTAAAAAGCTTTATTTTTGTCTAGGTTTTTTTTATATATATTTAAGGAAAAAATTCGTTGAAATCTTGTTCGGTATTATTAATTTTTTTTTTTTTTTGATAAGAAGAAACTCTGAGGGTTGTATGGCCAACTCCTATATTACATTTTTGTCTCATTTTGCCTCTTAAAACACTTCTCAAATACACAATACTATCCAAATAACTTTTTAATTTACTTTTTAAAATTTGTTTCAAACATTATTGTTACACAGTTTTTATCCACAACCACCAGCCCACCTCCAACGCCGCCATTCGCCGCCAGACCGCCCACCACCGTCGCCAGCCGGCGACCGGCCGGCCATGTGGCGGTCTGGCGGTGTCGGTGGGCGGTCTGGCGGCGGCGGTGGTAGAGGTGACCCGGTGATGGTGTAAAAATATTATTATTTTATTTAAAATATTACCCAAACAATTTTTAAAATTTTTTCTCCAACCATATTTTAAATCACATCTCAAACTAAAACAAAAAACCAGCAGCTGTCCATACAAGCCCTCATTCATTAACTTCAGGATTTGATTACATCAACAGCTCTATCATGAGCCATACGGGTTCTATCCCTACTAACCTTAGAAATTCTACATAAACTAAACCATTCAACAGCTTGTCGAATGTCCGACGTTAGACTTGAATACCAGACTGGCGTCCGCTCTGACCCTTCTAAATAGTTGACCACTTTCATACTGTCCGTCAAGATATGAAGGGTTGTCCACCCAAATGACAGAGCTAGGTTAACAGCTTCCCATACTATCATGAGTTCCATCTAAGTTGATTCTTATTAAGGAGTCTCAATCCCACATCGGTATTAGGAGACTCTTAGTATCAATATATAAGCTCCATGGTCTACTCCCCTCATCGCCAATTGGTTTTGAGGTGGAACCCCATGGGCTTCTGTATAGTATTAGAGCCAGTCCGCTGACATTCAGACTCCAAAAAGTCCAACAAAAAAATAGGACTGAGACGTGAGGCGGTGCCTGGGCTGAAAAAAATAGGACAAGTCCAACCCAAAAAATACGTTTAGATTTGCGGGGGAGTATTAAAGAGTCTCAATCCCACATCGGTATTGGAAGACTCTGAGTATCAATATATAAGCTTCATGGGCTACTCCCCTCATCGCCAATTGGTTTTGAGGTGGAACCCCATGGACTTCTGTAATTTTAGCGCCTTGTATGGCTTCGTCTCCGAGTGTATGACGACCCTCGAGTGTCTTCGACTACCACTCCGCATCCTCCCCTGCATGGATCCTTCCTGAATGAGCCACAACCTCTATTACTACACCCTGGTCTTCCAAGGTAATTCCCACCCGTTGGTTATCTTCTCCCCAGAGGCACACCGTTTTCCCCTCACCCCGTTGAGTATTCGTCTATGGGTATGGTGACAAGATCGTTGCTGTTGTTCTTCATTCTAGTCGACATTGGTGGTATCATTGCGAATGCAGGAACATTGACCAAGGTGACTGTAAAATATTCTAACTTTTAATGTGACCACATCAAGAAAGTAAAACCAAAAGTGATCCAGAACAGTTTATTCTAGTCAATTTATTGAAAGAAAAAAAAAGATTACAATGTATATATTTATCCAACAAATATTGAGACAATTTAATTTTACCTTAATAATTTTCCAAAAAAAAAACCCTCAGAAAATGGCCTAATCAGCCGACGAGGAATTAAATTGGATTATTACAATGATTTTCACCCCATGAACATATGTAGTCTCTTCAATTTTGATTGAGTATATCTTAACTGAATGATTTAGTAAAAAATCAACAAGTAAACCATAGAATTTTCTTATATTTTAAAGCTGTTTCACCTTAAAACTTGCATATTTATGAGCTCTTTTTATTACTTTCAGTTTTTATCTAAAATTTTAGTTTTAAAATGTTATTTCTATTCCCGGTACTTTTCACTTTTATTTTTTTTAGTTGAAATGATCAAATCTAACTAAAATAATACGGTTTAAATAGGTGACCTTAGAAGAAATTCGTAATAATTAACACGGTTTTAGGACACGTGAAGTGAAATGAAATTAATTTATTGATAAAAAAATTAGACAAATAAAGTACAACCCAATGTAATCAATATATTCATGTAATTATATAAGTTCACTTTTTAACGGATTCTTTTGAATCTAAATTAAATAAAATACAAACATTTCATTTCAATTATGATACCATAATACCCAAATCTTTTATGATGCGATAACATTGAACATATTTTGAAAGTCTTTTCTTAATATAAAATTGTCATAGCAACTTTTATATTAACGCATTAAAAAATAAAAAATTGTGAAATTTTGTTTTCAAACAAAGAAGACACATTTGTCACGCTCATTCTTTTTTTAAATTTTTCGGGCACGTGTTACAAGTAATTTATAAATGATAAGATAAGATCTAACTATTATACTTTTTTAAAAAAAAATAAATAAAATTTGTGCACAACCATGTGTATTTAGGGCAGAAATGTTTCACATGTGCATTGGTTAAAGGAATTTCAATGTGCATTGGTTAAAGGATCTCACAAACGAGAAGAAAAGACGCTGACTCTCTTTTTATTTGATTTTTCTAGAAAAGAAAATATGATACAAGATATTGAATTTTAAAGTATTTACTGATATACTACCTTTGTCCTTAAAAAATATTCCTTCTAGTCCTTAATATAAGGTATTTTGAGTTGTCCTAGGTTTTACCTAGTAAGCATTTTTAATTGACAAAAATTTTAAACTCTATTTTCACATTCATTGAGTTCTCTTAATTGTCATGAAATATTTTTAATATTTTTTTATCACTTAAAAATGCGTACTAAATGAAACCAAGGACAAATCAAAATATTAAGCCCCGAATGAAATATTTCAGGTTAAGCTTTCAAATTTGTACAGATTTGAAAACTCAATGTAAACTTTTTTTTTTAAGACAGAGAGAATATATTTGTTCCCTTATTGTTTTATAGAACTCGCGCCACGGGCAAGTCAACAACTAATCTATATATCAATAAAATAACTGAGGGAATGACACATCTCATTAATTTTAATCATGATGTGTATTCATTATACAATACACATAATTAAAATTAAATTTATCATCGATTCTAAATCACCCCCTTAATTCAAAATTCCAATCGACACCATTTTCCACTCCTACATAAAAAAAAACTTTTTCGGTAGAATTATAATATTTATAATTTTATAATATCCGCACAGCGTTTGGGAGTAAAACTAGTAACTTTAAAACAACAAAACTAGCTAGATGCACACGTGAAAATGATTCAGAAAGTTGAGAAGTCAATTGACACCAAACTGTAACATAGTCTTCATGCCTTTGGAATTTTTAGTCAAACTCATATAATATACATTAAAAAAATACAAAACTCACATAATTAATGTAAAATGCTGGTTAAACCGACCAAATTCTTTTAGAGGAAATAAGTGTCCATACATAATAACAATAATGATGTTGAATTTGTCTTTCTTTGCCATCCTACACAGATATTAGATTTCAT